TGCAAATGGTCTTGTTCCATTGGCAAAATCCAAGAACAAATGCACTTATTTTAAGAAAAAAATGACTTATCTAGATTTAGATTTGTTTCCAGTGCAAGCAGAGGGGGTGACTGTAGTCAGGAAGCATCCTGCTGACGGAGGGAGGCAGCGTTTCTTTCATGGCGGCTCAAAGGAAAACGTTAAAAAAATTAAATAAAGGCATGTTTCATCATTAAATATATCAAGCGAGCCAAACAGACACTAACGGCTCTGATCTCGAGGATGAACACTAAGATCCTGTCCAAACACGTCTAAAGCCCAAAGTGCAACCCCTTCACTTTTAAAACACCCGCAAAGTAAAACAGAAAATGTGAAAAAAAATTTCAGAGTATCCCTTTGATTTCTATGCCATCTAAAATCATCAAGCTACACTGATGTTTCTGATAAGCCTGGATGAGGAGAGATCACTCGTTTTATTCATTATTTGCCAGAATCTGACCGCTTGAAGCTTTTCTCAGACTGAAAAGCTGTTTCAGAAGCAGGAGGCTGTTCCTAAACACAGACGCTGAACAAGTCTTTGTTATTCTGTGCTATTATTTATGTCATAATTATAGACTGCTCCATGAGCGTCTGGCTGCTCAGTGCTGCATAATGTCGAGGAATTTAGCCGGAGGGGGTATTACTGTGCTGCTGCACACTGCAAGTGATCTACAAAATTAACATGTTAAGTTACGTGTATTAACTCTAAGTTTCAGTAGGTAAATAAGATGCCTTTTCTCCTAAAATAAGATAGATAATATGCACTTGAAATAAGACAATTGAATTCTTTATTATTTTAAATGCACATTGACTTGTTCCATTGGTAAGGTGTCTGACTTCCTCAATTTAAGGAAGAATGACTTTAGATTTAGTGCAGTAATGGCTTCTAACACCGATTCCTGATCAATTCTGTTAAGAATGAACTAAGTGCACGGTGACATTCGTCTACCTTCGCTGAGACATTCTATTTCTTCCTCGATGAAAACAGAAGGCAGTGAACGGGAGCCGCCAGCCTCTGAGCAGCCAGGCTACCCGTCTCATCACAGTCATCTAAATCTAATGGAGAAGGCATCTGTTTAATGAAAAAGCATTACTGTACAATTATGGGAAACAAACTCATCTTCCCCTGATTTAAATAAATGAGCGCCACCTTTCTCTCACTCCCTGAACTGCAGAGTAACTTGGTAGCATGTTTAATAACGCCAAAGAGAGGAAGGAAACTGGTTTAATTCCAGAAATGTCATCTGATTTACTAAGAGCCACATTAAGCACAGCCAGTGATATAAAACTAGCTACTAACCACCAGAGTTTCCTTCCATGATGGTCGTAACTTTAGCTTCTGTCCGGAAGCATCAAAAACACGGCATTC